CCTTCCTAGACTAAAACCGCCGCCAGATACCAGCTCTTTGGGAAAAGCCCTGCAGCCCTGGGCGAGCACGGGCAGGAGGCCGGCGGGGAGGCTGGATTCTTCTGGGGTTCAGAAAATAGGTCAGTGCTCTGCAAAAATATGCTGGTAGTCCTGGCCAGAGGAGATGCTGAAGCTGACGGAGGAGGGAGATGTCGCTCCGTACCTTGCTTGCTCGGTGACGAAGGCACGTGGAAATTTGGAGCTCCTGGCACAGCTTTTGGGTGCGTGGGAAGGAGCCATCCCTGGCTGACCATGGATCTGTGGTAATGCTTTGCTGGGATTGCAGGGTTTGTTACACCAGTGCAGAGCCATTGTGCCGCTAAAATCTCCCAGTTGCACAGTGCCGTATTGATGCAAAACCGCTCCTGATAGACGTGGCCATAGCTGGTAGGCATAACGCTGCTGGCAGCTGCGCACAAAGGCAGCTGAATGCTTGCCTCCGGTCCCTTCCCAACGGAGCTGGAGCAATCCTCGTCTCCTTCGTGGAAGCAGGAGGCCATCGCCTTCCCCTTAACAGGAAAAACGAGCTCAGAGGTGTTGCTGGCTAGAGCGGGATTTCTGACACTGCTGGAAATGATGTATACATCTTATGTGCCAGAGAGCTGAACTTCAAAGGGAATCTGCTGTAGCTGGAATTAGTTGGGGTCTCGATGGGTGCGTTGCCTTGATGCCGCGGAGAAACGGCTTCCTCCGGCGGCCGTGCCGTTGGGGGGCTGGATGTGTTATGTGTGAGTTTGCTCTTGCTAAAGGATGTGAATGTATTGGGAGTAGTTCTTGATGCTTAATTCTTTCCTCCTGGTTCATTTGACTTATCCTTGCCCTTTAAAAGCGAGCCGCTGGATTTATTGCCTTGTGCTTTGATGCGAAAGACCTTGACTACTTTGAATTGCCCCAAGAGATACCAGTCTTGGCATGGCTTCTGCATCAGCAATCCTTCTGCTAGCTTCTTATCAGGCTTCGCTCCCCGGCTAGCTGAACTCCACCCAGCACATGCTGCAAGGTCATATGGGGAGGGGTTTAGAAAAACCCAAAAACCCCAACAAAATCAACCCTGGGACCCAAGGGGGTTTGTTTGCTGCATGTTCGAGGTCTGTACTATGTGAAGATGATGAATAAATTCCGTGATGACTTTCTTCTGCAGTTTATAAAAGATTCATGGCGAGCAAGCAGACTAAAAAAAGTGCATCTTGTGTTGTCTCTTCTGGTTTAGTTACCTAAATGACTTGGATAGAATATCCCAGCCGACCTATATTCCGACTCAGCAGGATGTTCTGCGGACCAGAGTTAAAACTACAGGCATTGTGGAAACTCACTTCACCTTCAAGGACCTGTACTTCAAGTAAGTGAAGGGCAGCGCTCGTCCCTGTGGACTGCGGTGATTTCTTCAGTGCGTGGTGGCGGTGGTGGGTCCCGCACCTGCGCTGCGAAATGTCTCGCCCTGTTTTAACTGTCCTCCTTGCCTCCGTTACGCTCCCTCTCTACTGGCATTGCTGACTGGAGATACCGGTTTGACTTTTATTTGCCTTCTTCTGTTCTTTTCAGCTGCTTTTATGTTGGAATCGCAGACACAGGTACTGACTGCTTGCTTACAGGATCAAAAAAACCCCCCAATACTAAAAGGACACTGACTCCTGGATTTTGAGTTTGAATTTAACCCCTTCCTTTGAAGCGGGCGATAAGAGCTCTCCCCGCAGTCAGTCTTGCCTCTGGGCTGCATGGTGTTCCCCGCAAAGCTGTAGATGACTCTGCTGACTGACACTTGCTGCGGAGCAGGAGTGGGGCATGCAGAAAGCGTGCTGGGGACTGGCTGCCTTTGCCTGACGCCGCGGCGGACGGGACTTGCCTGTCCCCTCTGCCTTCTCAATCCAGTCCCTGCAGGGCTCGGGTATCGAGCCTGGCCTTGGCAGTGTCCCTTTAGGTATCACTAATCCAGCTCCCTCTAACCTCCGTAGCGGCTGCTAGCCTGCAGTTTAGCTCTCCTCCCCGCTCTTGAGCTGCTCATTAGAAAATCCTCGCTTTGGATCCCGATCGTGACAAACAGCCTGGAGCCCCGCGGGGTGGGCATTCGTGTCCCGTAACGTGGATGTAGGAAAGTGCAGCGCCCGTATCTCGGGCGAGTCCCCTTCGTCTGTGGCGATGTTTTCAAGTCTTTGTTGCTCAGAGCCTTTAAATAAGCATTTGTTTGCTTATTTTTAGCTTGCGTTTGAAAACAGTTTGAAAGAGCTACAGCAAAAATCCAAGCGTTGCTTATAAAATCTGATTTGTTTGCACGCTTTTTTGGGAGAACAGTAGCATTTTGGCTTCTGAACTGTCTTAACTTATCGTTTTAACAAGAAATGCCTGAACACTTAGCATCACCGAGCTATTTACATGGCTTCTGGTTCGTCCAGGGAAAACTTGCCTTCCGTCGCGATGTATTAGGATTAGCGTTTCCAGCTGCAGCGTGTGGCGGTCTTTTAAAAAACATCACGTCTGACTAATGCAAGAGTGAGCTGGAGGTAGCGGGCGTATTCCGTTTAATCGTTATAACCCTTCTTTTAAAGGGAAATGGCTGAGCGCTCGGAGGCGTGCCTCCCTGATGCAAAGAGGGGAATTGCTCTTTCCCCAGCCTGCCTGGAATCATTGATCATGTGCAGAGCCCGAGACACGAGGTGTCTCGTCTCGGAGGGATTTGTTCCACAAAGGAGAGCATTAATACATCTTAAACCCTGAAGCTGCCATCTTTTCCGTGACGGAAGCCTTGATGTTAAATCTCAGACATTAATAATGGGCTGAGGTAGCCTGAGTATAACTGTGACTCGAATTTGGATTAGCTTGGCGAAGCCGAGTTGTCAAGGATGCCGCTCCTTTCCAGATGTCTCCGCGCTAACAGCGGAGACTAATGGCAAATGATACAAGCTAAGTAAATAGCCCGTATCCTCAGGGATTTTCATCTTTCCTCCTGTGGTCCACGGGGACGGTTTACCTTAAATAGAAGATGGGACTTAGCCGAACGGCACTTCTGGCTGCCTTGTTTGGCATCATTAAATTGCATTGCTTTTGGCCCACCCTGGGCAGTTCCTCTCTTGTCTGCTTGTTTGCTCTGATAACAAATCAATGTTTATGATTTTCATAGCTCTCGGCTATTGACTTGTATCTGGCTTGATTTAATTAAGTGACAGTCCATCAGAACATCCTGGGCAATCCTGCTTCTCATCAAAATATTTTGGTATCCAAGACACTGGCATCTTTTTTTATAGGCAGAAATTCTGTAAGCAACTCTGCAGCCTTTAAACTTAAGTAGCTCACAGATATTTTTTTTTTTTTTTTCATTTTTTTAATATGTGAAACTGTTTCTTAACCCTGTTAATTTTTTCTGGGTCCCAGTGATAGCGTGCAGGTAGTACGTTCCAGATAATCCTTTGTCAGACACAGTGTAAATTAACTGGAAGAGCTGACTGAGTAGGTGGTTGGAGTCCAGTCAAGCAAAGGGATTGTTGCTAAGGAAATAGGAGCCAGAGAACAAAATAAGCATGCCCTGGTGAATCGGCAGACTTCTGGATAGCGATGTAGGTAACATCTAGTTCTTACTGCTGAAATTGCTCGAAAGAAAAGAATTCTGGTTTTAAAATCCACTCTCCTGAGAAAGGGAGGGCTCGGAGTGGTTGGCCTTGCTGATGGAAGGCTGTGTACCTGTTTTCCCCTAAACCCTGCTTGTTTGAAAGTCCGGAGCAGAGCCTCCTCCGTCCCCCGTGAGCGGCGTGGCGGCCGGGGAGGGAGGGCTCCGCGCCCTCTGAGGTCGTTCTCCTGCCTCTCCCAGGATGTTTGATGTCGGTGGCCAACGGTCGGAGCGGAAGAAGTGGATCCACTGCTTCGAAGGCGTGACGGCAATTATTTTCTGCGTGGCCCTCAGCGATTACGACCTCGTTTTGGCCGAGGACGAGGAAATGGTATGTTACGGAGGAGCTGGCAGTGCCTGGCTGCGTGGCCCTGTAGGAGAGGGGAGGTGGAATCGCGGCGGGGCCATGTCTCCGGCTTGCTCCTCTTGTTCCAGTTGTTCAAGGGCTGTGAAGATGAGCGCTTCCTTGCAGCAACCCGCAGTATCTTGCCCCAGAAACTAAGAAACATAATGCATCAATGAGATTTTTCTCCAGGCCCTGGTTACAGGGAAGTGCCTTGAGTTGTCCCTGCAGCCCCTTCCCCCAGGTGTGAGTACCTCCGTGGAGGACCAGACACGTCCTGGGGGAGCTACGGGATGAGGAGGTGACCTGACCCCTGCTCAGGGTTGTGCCCGTGCCCTTCCTGATGAAGTGGCAGTGAGGACATGTCGGTGGCACTTGACTCTTTAGGCTGGCCTTTGTAGTAAAGCCTGTCTGTCCCCCCACCCCATCCTCCCCTGGTAACTCGGGAACGAGGCATCACCCTTCTCATTTTATTTTCCAGAACCGGATGCATGAGAGTATGAAACTGTTCGACAGCATTTGTAACAACAAATGGTTCACAGACACATCGATCATTCTCTTCTTGAACAAGAAAGACCTGTTTGAGGAGAAGATTAAGAAAAGCCCACTAACGATCTGCTATCCAGAGTACACAGGTGAGGCTGGGCTCATGAAGGCAGCTTCATGAGTTTTTTATTTGTTGCCAGGGATGAGTCAGTCAAAGCCTACGCAATCCAAGACAACTTAAAAGCTTATCTTTTTCCCTATTCCCTTAACTCTGTCTCTTGGGCAGCATCTTTGGGCTGTCAAGTTAGCTCGTTTTCTCGGAAGAGATGTGGTCACGCACATCTGTGGTTCGGAACAGCCTTTGTCCGTGTGCTTTATGGCCTGGAGTACGGATAGCAAAGTATTGCACTCCAGCAAACCGAGGTCACTCTGCCTTTTCCACATGTTATTAGGACAATAGTTTCATGTAACTTCAATTTTAGAGGCTCTGGAACTTATCCACGTCCTGGGGATGGCACGTGTTCACCCTGGCGTCTCCGTGTTTCAGCAGCGGTCTGTGGTGCAGCCCTTCCCTGCCGTGGCCCCGCACGGCCGTGATGCTTCGCCTAGTCACTGCTCGAGGCATTTAGATTATTTTTTTAAGTGGTCCTTCCTTCAAACCTGCTTATTCCTGTCATTTGTCACTCTTCTGCTATAACTACATGTTTCGAGCATGAAGCATTACCGTAGCCGGCGTACGACGTTCCTTTCTAGCGATCTCTGGGGAGGAGTTGGCAAGTTGCAGAAGCGAGCGACTTGTCCAAGGTCACGGACCAGAAGCTGGGAATAGACTTCAGATTTACAAGAAGGGGTTAATGGTGGATTTGGCTTTGTAGCTGGATAAGGCAGATGGTTGCAAGCAGCTTAATATGTACTTAAAAGATCTCTCTGCTGTGAACTGCTGGCCAAAGTAAGGGATCTTATCTTTTTCAGGCTCCAACACGTACGAGGAAGCAGCTGCCTACATCCAGTGTCAGTTTGAAGATCTGAACCGGAGAAAAGACACCAAGGAGATCTACACGCACTTCACCTGTGCCACCGACACCAAGAACGTGCAGTTTGTGTTTGATGCTGTTACAGATGTTATCATTAAAAACAACCTGAAGGAATGTGGACTCTATTGAGAAGGAAGGGGCGTGGGAAGAAGGTAAAGCTCAGCCGCTGGTAGCGTTGAAGCTCGGGCTGCCTTCGCCTCGCGCCTCGCTAACGCTCGCTCTTTTCTTTTCAGTTTTTATGATGCGGCGTTTTGAGAACCAGACTCTTGGCTGCCTCGCGGGGACAGCTGCAAGCATGAACAGGACCAGGGAAACGAAAACAGCATGCGGAATCGTTGCATTCTTTAGCACAATCTTCTGTATTAGGGACCTTTTTATTGATATGGGATGTTGAAGTTTAGGTCAAGATGGAACAACTGTTAGTGTGACTAGATCATCCTGGCATCGTTTGGATGGCGTAATCTCAAATGTGTACAGCTGTTGTGAAGTTGAGGTGCTGGATTCCAGACCTTCGATATGTAGCTTTCTCTCTTTCTTTGGTTAACAAGCCACCACTAGTCTGTTTTTAAGGTTTTTTTCCATCAAGAAAACTATAACTTTACTAAATTTTATTTCTTTATTTGCAAACGGATCTTGTTTTAAAAATAAAAAAACAACAACAAAAAAAATCACTTAACTATGCACATGTGACCAGATCATGCAGAAAGTATTCCTCTTAGCAGGAACTCTTTGTTTTTAACACTTGGTATGGTCAGGATTTAATATTTCTGCAACTACTTAAAGAATCCTTAGAGCTCTTACGGTGATAGCTTCGGCTTTTTCTGATGTGTAATTTGTTACCGTCCTGCTCCCCTAAGGCTTTTGAAAGAAGCTTCTGCAGCAGGATGAGCGAGTCTTTTTAGCTTATGGTTAGGGGTGAACCTGGTTTATGCCGATATCCAAATTGAGAGTCATTCTGCGCGGGAAGCACGAAGCCAGCTTCGCGGTGAGCGCGTCCCCGGGCTGCCTCCCTTGGAGAGGTGGAACGCCGAGCTCCAAACTGGATGGGAAACGCGTGCTGCTACAGAGCTACTAAACCAACCGCTTCGATTCTTGTGCAGTTTTGGTCTAAACCGGTGGGCGATTTTGTCAAGGGTGCACCTCGTTCTGCATTTACCATGGCCTTTCTGTTCAGAGACTCCTAAACTGTAGTGACAAGCATGCCTTTACTTTGTATATGTGGTGCCAAATTCCCGTTTGCCATCGTTTTTACTGTAGTAACGGTCATAACCAGTCAGTACATTCCTTTGCTGAACCATTGCATTGAGACTCTCTTTCCCAGTTTGTCATGTGTACAGTTTCGATCTGTTAGAGTTGTTGGCAGTATTAAAATGGTGAGTAAACAGTTTAGCCTTTTCTCTAGTTCCCCCGTTTTTGTGCTTTGCTGGAGAAGGAAGGTAAGCGCTTCGATAGGAAACGGGTGTCGTTAAGGGGAGGGGAGGGTTGCTCGTGGTTTATCGTACACGGCTGTCGGCGCTCTCCGTGCCGCCGGTTCTGCTGCTCCCAAAGACTTGGGTTGTGCTGGTGCAGATGGAAAACAGCAGGCGTCCAGTCGGTCAGCGGGATTATTGGCAGATGGTTAGTTTACTGCTTATTATAGCACAAGTCTCGCTGCCTCTTTTCAACCTGATGGGAAAAGGACTGCTCTGGACTGCTGTTCGGCACTGTAGCCCGTTTCGAAGACGCTTACCTAAAATACGGAATGAAATACTTCAGGCATGCCTGTGGGTGCTGTGAACGGCTACCGCGTAGCCGCAAAGAGCGTATTTATGGTCTGGGAGCTCTTCCCCAAGCTGCCCTGAGCTCTGCCTGCCTGACAATTCCCTTCTCGGCAGCCTCGAGGCGTTACTGCAGCCTCGCACGACCGCGGGGGATGGCTGGCCTTGCCTTTTCAACAAATCCATGCAAACCTCCCCGGTAATCGGGTTGATGGCTGGAGCCGCGCCAGGGTCCAAGTACGCGCTTTATCTCGGCCGGCTGGGAGGAGGGTGCTTTGCCTGGGAAGGGTGTTGTGTTTTTGTTTTGTTTTTTTTTTTTGGTCGGTGGTGGCCTGGTGGCACCTGTGCCTCCATCCCCACCGGCCACCCGGGAGGACGGCGGTGGCCCCACGCCGCCACACGCGGGGCGCTGGTTGATCTCGGTGGGAGATCCGTGTGCGCGGAATGAACGCAAAGAATGTAAAATATTCCGTGGTACCGGGCACAGGAACGGGGCTCGGGAAGAGTCGTCCCAGAGAGATCGAAGTGGGAGAAACGATAGACATCATGCATATTTCTTTATTTTGTTTTTCCTACAGTTAAACGAAGCCGTACGTGTGACCTCTGCAGCAAACAGTGAGGATGCAGGACTTGGCTACGGTACCGGCGGCGATTTATTTACAAACGGTAAAGAGCAATTACAGCTCTAAATAGCAGAATGAAAATCTTTCAAGTAACCATTTCCTCTTTATCCTGCCCGTTCCTCTTCTGGAGGCGCGATTCCTTCCCCCGGCCCCTAACGCACGGGCTCCTGCTTGTGCTCGCCCGAGAGAAATTCACTCAAGCCTTAGGCCACAAAACCCCTTAATTTCTCCTGCCAAAGGACTGAGGTTGGCTCCCAGGAGCGACTCGTAGGTAGCCCAGCCTCCGCCTTCCCCAGAAACTCCCGGGTTGATGAATTCAGCTTTGACAAAGGGAAGAAACCAGCCGCGGAGCGCAGAAGCGAGGCGCGCCGTGCTGCCCGGCCGCGGCAGCGTGGACGTACCATGGCTCCATATTGATTTTGCTGCTCTTTGGTGTCAAACCACTCCAGATCTCGTTTATAAACGCCGCCTTTCATGCGCTGTGGAGAGCAGGGGTTTCTTTCTTTTTTTTTTTTTCTTTTAGAAAAGAGGAAATGGCCACGAAAGGGAGCAGCTTCAGCTTTCAAGCTTTTGGGCTTGAAAGTAGGTGGCTTGGTTGGGCAGGTCATAGAAAAAGTGGGGCGTGAGGAACTTTTTATTTCTTGGTTTAATCCTTTTGGCTCTGCTCAGCAGAACAGCGATGAAATGGGAGTCCTTTCCTCTTCTATAGCAGGGAGGAAGAAAGAAGAGGGGGTTAAAAACGCTTTCAGACAACGACGTTAAGGGTGTAATGGTGCAAGGCGCAGGAAGGGTGGGTTTAGAGAAGCGACTTTTCATTGCGCCACGCTTGGCGACGGAAAAAATTCATCGGTTTAAATTCTCTGACCCAGGCAATGGCAAAAAGCCTGGAGAGCGACCCCGGTATTCCCTCGCTGGTCAGCCCCTGCGGCTTTTGCTGTTGCCCGTGGCCTCGGGAGAAGGCAGGGCCCCCCTGCCCGCCGCCTCGGCACGGTATTTGTATTTTCCTCCGTGCCAGAAGCGGGTTCTCGGCCGAAGGCTGCCGAGCGCCCTGCTTCGAAAGCCGCTTTGGTCGGAGCACAGGGCAGAGCTGCACCCCCCGTCCTGCCTCTGCCTGCGGGGAAGCTGCCTGCCTGCCTCCCTGCCTGCTTTATTCTTTTTTTCCTTGCTTCTCTATTAATATTTAGGGACAAGGGAAGCGCCGGAGGTTCCCTAAAAACCAAAGCATTGAAGCTGGGAGCTGCTCGGAAAGCAGGGAAGAAATTCCCACCGTGGCTCAGGCCTAAGGATCGGGGTTATAAACCCTAATTAAACCTTTATGGTGAGGAGCTAACAGCCGGGCGAAGCAGGCATGGCCTTCCCCTGCCTGCTCCCTGCTGCACCGGGGCATCGCTGGGGTTATTCCTGTGAGCCGAGGCTGGGTCACGGCCTCCCAACCGGGCTGCAAACCGGCACGGCACCGGTGACGGTGTTGTGGCAACAGGAGGCCCCGAGATAAAAGGGTTTGATCTGGCTCAGGTGCATAATTTGGGCCATAATCTGCTGTTTTCATCTCTCTCCGCAGGCAAGGGGGTGAAGCAGTCTGGCAAAACGAGTTTGAAATAATAACGGGGCTGAGCCCGCCCCGGCTGGGGAAGGGAACCCAGCCCCCGGGAGCTCTGCGTGGGGACGCTGGGCGTCCCCGGGGGCTGCTGGGACCCCGGACCCCCCGCTCCTCCCTCATCCCAGCGCCTCCTCCCCTGCTCTCCGTTTTCCAGATTTCCAGACCGTGTTGGATGGCAAAGCCGGGGGTGACCCACATCCCATCGCCCGGCAGAGCGGGATGGAGCGGGCTCTGCCGCATCCCCGTCATCCCCAGTTTTTTTTTTTTTTTTTGTGGTTAAATAACCGTTTCTCGTAACCGAAGCCTGCCGGGACGTACCTGCCACCCAGATGCTCAGAAGAGGCCGCAGTCCTTGAGGTTCTCTTTGATGATGACATCCGTGACGGCATCAAAGACGAATTTGACGTTCTGCGTGTCTGTGGCACAGGTCATGTGGCTGTAGATCTCCTTCACGTCCTTTCGCATGTTGAGATCGAGGAACTGGGTCTTGATGTAATTTCCTGCGTCTTCGAATGTGTTGGGACCTGCGGAGGGAGGAGACGATGGGAGATGACCGTCGGAGCTGGGTGAGAAGCAGGGGATGCTTAAGGCTTGTTTTGGAGAGCTAGAGCTGAAATCTCCCTCCGGAGGAGGAAGAGGAGGAGGAGGAGAAGGGCTGGGTGGCAACTGCACCTAGCAAAGTGATTTAAACAAAAAAAAAAGCTTATTTTAATCCTTCCCCAGGCCACATCTGTCCTCTCCTCTGCTCCTGCCTCCAGGGACTTGACTTGATCCCAGCATAACCTAAACCCCAGGCGCTGTGTCCGCGGTGGGACCACGCGACTCCTCGCCGGAGACCAGGCTTTGGCGGGGTCTGGAGGAGGGGGAACGGAGCCACTCACCGTCGTAATCTGGGAAGCAAATGCTGAGATGGACTTTCTTGATCTTTTCCTCGAAAAGGTCCTTCTTGTTGAGGAAGAGGATGATGGACGTGGCGGCAAAGAACTTGTGGTTGCATATACTGTTGAATAGGTGCAGGGATTCGTGCATGCGGTTCTGCAAGCAAACGGGCTCGTTGGCACGAAGCGCCGGTGCTTATTTACGCCTCCCTTTTGGCCGTTGCAGCCCCCCCAAATCCCCCCATTCCCGAGAGGGGAGCTTTTCCCCGTGCTGCCGGGGCTGCTCCTGTTTGCCGCAGCAGCAAATGGCTCTGCTGCCTGTCCCCTGCCTGCACCACGTCCCTCTTGCCCATCCCCGTGCTGCAGGGCGAGCAACCCGGATAAATCCAGTTGAGGCTGGGGAACGGTGTTAAGCAGCTCCGGGCAGCTCCGTTCCCTCCTGGCATCTTCAGAAATGAAGGCTTACGGTGGGAAAATGATCCGGGGAAACCGGCACGGCATCCGGGCCGTGCTGCGGGATGCTCTTGCTGGATGCAGCCCCTGGCTGTTACCCGCAGCTGGGGAAAGGAGCGGGGCAAAGGAAAAGCTCTGGTTTTAAGGCAGACGTGCGGCTTTTAGTTTGCTGCAGGGGCAGCCTCAGGAGGCCACGGCTCCATCCAGCTGGAGCTAAGTCGTGGAATCATAGAATCATAGACTTGTTCAGGTTGGAAAAGACCCTTAAGATCATCCAGTCCAACCGTTAACCCAGCACTGCCAAGGCCCTTAAAGCAGAGCCAGAACACTGCTTTATTGATGGGGCCAGCAAGAACGATTTATCCAATTTCAAAGCTTTTGCTTGAAGGATTTCAGGACTTTTGTAATTTTTTTTTTTTTTTTGTAGAAGCTGATTTAAACAAGCATTTTGAAAATATATACAATAGCACTTCCTAAAGGTATGCAATTTTCCCAGCATGGTAGGTCAGCTATATATGATATAAATCCATCCCTGATTTATTTTCCACAGCATTTCCAGATTTTCATTGATCTTTTTGTTTTGTTGGAGCTCACATGTCCTAACATGCCCACATAAATTAATGGATTTCTGTATCATTACTACTTATTATTCAGTAGTGTGGCTTTTATCCTAAAGGAGACGATACAATGAAACATGAACAACATTTCTTTCATCTCTAAGAATCCCACTGCAATTTATAAACTTAGGTCCTGCACTAGGAACACATCAATACTCAGGAGAGCAGTTAACATATTTTAGCTTTAGATATGTGCCCACATCCTCCTGAAGTCAAAGGTACTTAAGCACACCATCAAAACAGGGGAGGGGGGCTTTATATAAGAATAAACCTCAAAATACCCAAAGTGCTTTCCTGCAGGTGTCTCTTAAAGGCAGGGCATTTCTGTCTTAGGATTATTCCACCATCACCAAAATGCAAAGAAGGAACAAAGTAGTGTATGAGGGAAGAAAGCTAAGTGGGATCCTTTCTTCAAATGAAATGACAGGGGGAATTTTAAATGGGCAAATAGAATCATTCAAAGAGGAGTTCTCCAAGGAAAAAAGGATTAATACCCCTATACTTAAAGAAATACACGGTCAAGAGCTCAGTACAATATTCATCTAGAATCCAGAAGCTCTAATGGTACTGTTTTAAGCTCTTTCGTCCATGCAGTATCAGCTCAGGAGGGCTGGTACAGACATAATGATGATTTCATCGTGATGTCTATATTTTGATACAGCATGACACTAATATATATTACCAGGACATGAGAAAAGGAGGAAGTACAGGAAATCTGATAAATTCACCTATCAAACCTGAGAGATTTGTACTGAAAGCACTTCTTGCAATATTTTAAGTGTTTTCCAAGAACACTCAGCCTCTGATACCAAGCCAGCCCTGCCCTGTTCAGTGTGCTAGATCTGATAGGATAACATAACAGAATGATTCCCATTGCCTCCAATATTAAATACTATATGCATGATGAGAAAGGTGGCTCTCATGCTCATGAATGAGCACACCTCTGCAGAGCCAGGCTTACCTCCAGCACTCTGATCTTTCTGCACATGTATTTAGCACTATCAGCCTAAATTTTCCTAAATGATCCTTCTGCGTTCTGAGGACTGCATTTTGTATTCTCAGCATTAATATAAGTGGAGAAGCTTCAGATATTAGCAGCCAATTTCAAAAGTATCTTCATTGCAATCAGCAAGGGCAACTGTTTCTGCAGCAAGGCAGGTGGGAAACCAATGGAAGAATTAGATTTAGAGTGATGGTGTTCCAGTTTGTAGTGTAGCTGCTGCATTCTTAAGAAATAACATCAGGCTTTCGCTGGTGTCTGGAAAACATCATCTGCTGTGCAGGTACTCTCTCTGTCAGCTGTTGTGGGACAAAGGACAATAGTGAAAGATTACATATGATGTGTCACGCTGAAAGACTACTGTTCCATCAAGCTTTTTCACTTCCAGCACTACATAATGTTAGAAAACATGGCAGGGGGGGGAACGGAACCCAACAAATATCACATAGAAAATGTGAAAGCATAAAGTTATACTCTCACCAATTTAGCATTCTCATCAATGCAGCAAATCTGCTAAAATTTATGGAAGGACTGAATAAATATACATCAGAGAAACTAATCCTGCATTACCTCTCAGAAGTGACCATACATGCGAACAACTTTGCTAAATCATTCATTGTTGATTAAAAGGAAGTCCAAAATCTATTAAAGAGAAACATGTTTTCCTCAGAAAACCTCTTCAAAATGTTTGGTGAAATTGCTGGCTTAAAGTGAACCTATTAAAGGATGAGTATAGGCAAGTCTTGCAAAATATTTAGGGATTAAAAATGCTTTACCAAAATGCCAGCAGTCACACAGCAGTATTTATGCTAGGTGGCTGCCCTGTATTAAATGATACGGATTAAAAAGGCTTCAGCTAGTCAGATAACATCCAAATTATAATTGAATCCAAGCCAAAATCCTAGATCCAGATACCCATAAATTTAGATATTTATGAAAACCAAATCCAAATGTAGCATGGTTTCATAGCTAGCAAAAGAATAACAAGTAGCTGTTGCTAGTTACTGAACCTGTTGTACATTATTAATTGTGAAGCAGCCTTGCCAACTCTCATGGTCGTCCTATGCTTGGGTCTTACAATAATCAGTATTTTTCTTGAAGTACTAGTTGCTGGAGTCATATGAATATATACAAATCTCACCTTTGTCTCTATATGCCTTTAGCACGTCCTAACGAATTCTCACAATAAAGTACTACGTCTTTTCTAGACAAAAGGGGAAATTCAGGCCCTTGTCTTGCTTCCTTCAAAGTCCGCAGAGAAACTCCAGGTTTATTTTCATTAACCTCTTGGCACAGTACCTGGGCCTGCAACGCAGTATGTCTTATGTAAGGACACACAACCCAAACTGACTGAGACACTGGATCTTAATAAGGTATTTATCAAGGAAGTGGTAGTAGCTGGCTGGGGGAGTGCTCCTACCATGTCCAAACTGTGAGGTACTTTTGAATTAAAATGCCTACTCTGCAGCTGACATCGAAAGTGCCCCTCACCCAGGAGCTAGAGGAGATCATAAGTAAGGGCAGAATTAACAGCAGAATCAGAATCCATTCTGAATCTACACTTTTTAATCTTTAATTTAGTAGATAAATGCTCCTCCGTCTAAATGAAGTACACAATAAAGTACACCTGGCTTCTGGCCACGTAGAAAAGAAATTGCAAATATTGGTCCACTGCTTCCACATTCATTTAGTAAAGCAGAAATAAACCCATTGTAACAGGAGATTGACATAGGATCTGTATCTCCAGCTTTGCAAATGAACATGCCTTGATGTTTAATTTTCCATGAGTTCCTCTGCATTTAGGTAGCAGCAGGAGACCATTATACTGTGACAGCACTCAGTTCTGATGACATTATCTTAAACTTTTCCCAGTTGTCCGTCCTCACCCCTGTTGTGCTGCCGCCATCTATTAACATTCCACTGACAACAATGAAAGATGTTAGAGCAGAGCACGTTAACGTGGTAGCCAAGCTGGGGTGCTTTCACCTGGATGTACACAAATGTTTGGCAGTAGCTATACAGTTAATTAGCTGGATCACATCATGCCAATTCCTCACAAGGCTCACCTGAGGTGCTTTGCATTTATTATTCATGGATTCATAGGTTTTTATGGCCAGAAGAAATCATTAGATCATCTGGCCTCCCCTTCTCTATTCTAAAGGCCATACAATTGCATTCACTTACTCCTGTTGTTAACCCAATTACTTGTGTTTCACTGTCTTCCAAAAAAAGACATCCAAAGACTTCAAAAGATGGCAAACCCACTTCTCCCTTGGAAGTTTATCCCAACAGCTAATCACCCTAAGTATTACACAACTAATGTAGGCTTGGGACTAATAAAGCTTAGTCCCCTATGGATTCGTGTTTCATGGTTGATTGGCTTCGATGCCTAACAAGCTGTGAGCTCTGATTAAAGTTTCTTCCCATATACAGAACATTTTTAAGGTCTTTTCCCCAACTCCTTGTGGATGCTCTGTGTCCTTCTAATGTGACAGCTGACATTATAGCCCTGATGGTACCTCAGATCATTATAGGTCTCTGTCAGGATTCTTCTAAGAAAGATTTCACCTATTCTTGACCATATACTTTCATGAAACCTGTAGAAACATAATTGCTTTTCCCCCCCCGGGCCCCCCCCCCCCCCCCCCCGCCACGGGCACTGCCGGCCATGGCTTCGCTGCTGTAAGCGGCTTAGGGCGGCACGGGAAGCTGCTTAGAATTAGGGTGCTAATCGCCTTGACCCCGGCCCCCCAGCTGGATAAGCCCCCGCCGCCGGTCCCTGCCCCGCGGGGCCCCCATGCCTCCCCGTGGGGTCACCCCGCTGCCCGAGCGGGGTGCGGGGGTCCCCCCAGGGGCTGTGCCCTCCCGCCCTGCACCCAGCAGCGGGGTTTGGGGGTGATGGTGACAGGAGCACCCTGGGGTCTCGCTGACCCCCTTGGGATGTGCCGCAGCCTGGCCCCGGTGCCCTGGTCCCGTCCCCGTGCTGTCCCCTTCGTCCCTGCCACCCCAGTTGCCACCAAGAGCCGATGCCACCCCCGGCTTGTGCCAGGCACAGCCCTGGGGGACACCCAGCTGGTGGGGCAACCTCAGCTCGCTAAGGGCAACTCATCGGGCTGACGAGGGCTAACGAGCCGCAGGGAAGGGACTCTCCTTGGGAGGAAGAAAGGCAGAGCACGAGGAGCTGATGGGACTGCTTGTCCCTGTCCCCGTCCCCGTCCCCGTCCCTGTCCCCTCTCCCTGGTTGCTTTTGCCCCCCACCCATCCCCAGCAGCCGCAGCCCCCCAGCATCAGCGGGGTCCCTTGTGCCAGGTGGGGACAAGGGGACATCTCCCGCATCCTCCTGGGGACACCCCCTCCACCCTTACCAAGCAAGAGCAACTTGACCGTCTTGGCCTCCTTATCCGCATCCTCCTGGAGCTTCTTCTCCAGCTCCTTGGACCTCTTGGCCATCTCCTTGTCCTCCGCGCTGGCCCCGCTCCCCATGGCCTCGTCTTCCTCCTCGAACACCTTGAGCTCCTCTAGGTCCCCGGGCTCTTCCAGCTCTCCGTGGGGAACGGCGCGCGCACCCCAAGGGCGGGCGGTGGGCGATGGGGGGAGAAAGAGAAGCCCCGAAAGGCCGAGCCGGGTACCCGCCGCCCTGAGGTCGGGGTGCCCCGCAGCAGGCAGAGCTCGGTGGGTCCTCGCGGGCTGGCTGCCCCCCGCTCTCTCTCTTAATTCCCCATGGATATCCTGATTTTTTTTGACGGTGGGATTTGGGGACTTTTTATCTCGC